ACAGCTGGTACCATATGGTCCACTAAGCACAGCCAGGTACAGTTCCACGCACCACCCCCCAATAAAAACAACAAAGCCAAACAAAATGTAGGTATTAATTATATTAACATTTTTCTGTTAATTAACATATTTTTCCTGATTTTGTTTTTACTGGTGTGGTGGGGGCCATTTTCAGTGGAGCCTGGAGGCTACCAGGGCCACCTCCAGTGGTACAGCATAGACCACAGGGTAGTTTCTTTTCTAAGTCACCGAATTAGGAGAGGATCTTCTCCATTACAAAGTATATTTGTGTTCAGTTTTAGTAAGTAATGTGGGGCCTGAAAGACAGTACAAAGGTCAAAACATTCACCTTGCACATGACCGACCCTGATTCAGTCCCCGCACCTCAGAGAGTCTCCCAAGCCCCATCAGGAGTGACGCTGAAGCTCAAAGCCCAGAGTAATAAGCCCTGGGCACTGCCAGGCGTGATCCCAAATCCCCCATTCCCAAATAATAATGTGGCAGTAGATCAACTAATATTCTCTATTTCCTTTCAATTTTATCTCTTTCATATATATATATTTCATATATATACACATATGCTAATTTTCATAATTCTATGTGTTGAATAATCAATCCTTTCTTTCTCTGGCATGCTTCTCACAATCTAAGAGGAAAGGTTAGCGATCTTTGATTCTGGGCAAGTTTTTCTGTTAAACCTATTTACATTTATAGGAACTCGTTAGATATCTCTTCTCCTAAGGGTCCATGAAATATAGGTGAAAAATACACCCTCCAGACAAAACACAATACATAGCCATATTCCTAGCTGGACTTTTTCTCCTTTGGCTTTTTGAGGCAATAGCTGGCAGTGCTCAGAGATCACTCCTGGAAAAGGTCCAGGGCCATATTGGGTGCTGAGGATGGAACCCAGGTTGGCTATCTGCAAGGCAAGAGCACTACCTGCTGTTCTCTCTCTCCAACCTCACAAATTCCTTTTCTTTTTTCTTTTAATTTTTTTGGGGCTAATACCCAGCCGTGCTCAGGGCTCTGCACTCAGGGATCATTCCTGGCAGGCTCAGGAGACCAAATGGGGTGCTGGAATTGAGCCTGGTCAGCTGTGTGCAAGGCAAGTACCCTACCTGCTATATCATCTCTCCAGCACCTCCCCCACAATCTTTTAAACAAAATTTGCTATTCAAGTTGAAATCTAATCTAATGAATACACATACTTACACCAGGAAAAAAAAAGTGACTCCTGTGTCTGTGGGATCAAGAATGATACAATCATGACTTCTGACAGGATATGTCTCCTGCTCAAATTACTTAAAAGTTCATTGTCCCTGGCTGACAAATGCTGGCCGACTTCGACCATGAGTGTGGAAAGGTCGGACTACAGCTGAATCTTACGAAGACAATGTTTATGAGAAACAGCCTCATTCCTGACGCCCCATTCGCTCTCAATGGAACCACCATCTCCGAATGCAACAGCTAGTGTACCTAGGTCGAGAAGTCAACATGACAAATGACCTGGCACCCGAGCTGCGCAGGAGGAAGAGAGCGGCTTGGAACGCCTTTAAGAGCGTTGAAGAAATAGCTAAAAGGACAAAGAACCTCCGGCTCCAGGCACATCTCTTGGATTCCACTGTTCTTCCTGCATTAACATATGCCTCAGAGACCTGGGCCCTACGCAAACAAGATGAGAACGCTATTCAGGTCTCCCAAAGAGGAATTGAAAGAGCTATGCTTGGACTATCACTTTCACTCAAATGAGAGAAAGAATCCGGAGTTCCGACCTCCGTCGACAATCAAGAATCAGGGTTGCTGTCTCGTTTGCAAGGTGTCGAAAATCAGATGGGCTGGTCACGTAATGAGATTTAAAGACGACCACTGGACGAGAGCTGTTACCGACTGGATTCCACGGGATGTCAAAAGACCGCGTGGCCGCCCACCTACCAGATGGTCAGACTTCTTCGTCAAGATCATGAACGATCGGTTTGAGGCCCTTCATGTTCCCGGAGCAAACAGATGCTATTGGGCTACACTAGCACGCGACAGGGACAAATGGAGAGGTAACTGGCGCTTGCTCGAGCAAATCGACAATTAACGGGAAGTCAAGTGATCAAGTGATCATTGTCCCTATTTTTTTCCCATCCTTTTCTTGAATATTTAGCACTCACAGGTTCCAGAATTTCCTTCTATTCTATATCTGAGTAAAACACAACTTGGTCCATTTATATAGTATATCTTTAATATATTATCAGTTATGTTACAGCACAAGTTCCCTGGAGTAGAGGGCGTAATTCAATTTGATATTGAAGAGTACCTGAGTTTTCACACAAGTAATTCATAAAATGTTATTAAAGAATGTTATGAAATGAATGCTATGAATGTTATGTTATTAAATGTTATGAATTATATAAAGTAACATCTTTAAAGCTTTTATACACATAAAAAGTCTTGGTGGATAGCATTGTAGCACTGTCCTCCCGTTGTTCATCGATTTGCTCAAGCAACCCGGTAACGTCTCCAGGGAGCTTGCCAGGCTTTGCCATGTGGGCGAGATACTCTCAGTAGCTTGCCAGGCTCTCTGAGAGGGGCGGAGGAATCGAACCCGGTTCAGCCAGGTCGGCCACATGCAAGGCAAATGCCCTACCCGCTGGGCTATTGCTCCAGCCCCTTTTTGGATAGATACATAAAAAAATAAATAAATAGAGAGTTGAGATTTTAAAAGGCTAGGAACTTATTTTCTCATTTGAAATTATGAAATACAGGCTACATGCAATCTTAAGTATTTGTTACTCAATACCTTTTTTTTTTTTAATTTTTAACTTGAGTCACACCCAGCATCATTCAGGTTCTGCACTCAGGAATTGCTCCTGGCAGTGCTCAGGGGACCAATGGGATGGCGGGGATTGAACTTGGGTTGGCTGCATGCAAGACTTAAACGCCCTACCTGGCGTACTATCACTCCAGCCCCTCAATAAACTTTTAAACGTCGATTTAATTCAGGGCGGGGTGGTGAATCAGTGGTAGAGCACTTGCCTTACATGTGTGAGGACTTGGGCAATTTTCCCTGGTACAAAAAAAAAGGATTTAATTCAGACTGTCATTTGATAAGTTAAACTAACTTTTCAGTCTTCTCTCTGAGATTATAGCCAGAACCTTGGAAATTAAGGGTTTTCCCAAAGTCTTATAATCTCTAGTTTACTAACAGTATGCTAAATCATACCTACTGGCCAAGACTTTTATAGTTTTTTTATTTAAGTAATTTTCCTTTTACTTTTGGGTTTTAAGGTGGACTTCATTTGTAAAGTGCAAAATTATATCTAAAAATCTCATCAGCCAATCATAAGACGCAAAAGTTTTCTTCTGCATGGGACTGCTTCCAGACACCCTGGATCTCAGTAAACAACAAAGGTCCTTCAATTTGTAGTTCTTGTATTCTTTAGGGCACTTCAAAGCATCGTGTGATGTAGGAGAAAGGGAGGGAAAGACCATCTTAATGAGCTGCCCTCTTAATTGTAGAGAATTTGTAAGACAAAATTGACAATGCTAAACCAGGTCTCTGGTGCATCCGATGTGTAGAATTAGTCCCAGGAGTGTTCCAGCTTTTGCTGGGCACTTGATAATAAAACCCACTGAGCTCTGAACAACCGCACCCAGAAAGCATTCTCCCTTTCTCACTGGATAAGTCTTTGGCCCACCCAGTCCTGCTGGCTGAAGGCAGTGATTGTTCTGTCCCACCCACAGAGACATGCTGCCAACAGATCAGACAGTACCCATCACCCAGACCCTGTGCATGGTGCACATATCACACTCCCTGTCCCCACCCCACAGAGTCATTGTGTTCCACTTCTTGGGGGTGACTATTTGTTGCCTGTGCTTCAGGTGTTTGAGAACTGGGTGCAGGGCTTTTTGCCGTCTTCCACACCAGTCAAAGAGCTGGTAAGGAGCAGACAGTAGAGATACTGTGTGGGAAAGGCAGGCAGCTATCACAGCTTATTACTTTTTTGACGGGGTGATACCCTGTGGGACTCTGGGGGCCATGCAGTGCTGTGGTTCAAACATGACATGCCTCATACACATGTACCACTTCAGCCACATCCATGTTATTGTTCCTAAGGTGCATGCAATTATTTCTCTTTAGTTCTGACAAATATACGTAGTGAATACAAACAGTCCATTCACAAACAAATGTATCAGCAAAATCATTTTTAGATGTTGGAAAAGTGGTATCTGTAATTTAAAAACTTGCACTAAGTATTATGTAACCTCAATTTTGTGATTAGCAAATGCTCATATGGTCACAGTCCTTCCATTGTTCATCGATTTGCTCGAGCGGGACCAGTAACGTCTCCATCATGAGACTTGTTGTTACTGTGTTTGGCATATCGAATAGGTCACGGGGAGCTTGCCAGGCTCTGCCGTGCGGGCGAGATACTCTCGGTAGCTTGCTGGGCTCTCCAAGAGGGGCGGAGGAATCAAACTCGGGTTGGCCATGTAGGCCGCTTGTAAGGCAAACGCCCTACTGCTGTGCTATCGCTCCAGCCCTAATGCTCATATATACAAACATATTACAAACACAAACTTTTTACACTGTGGTACACAGTAAGATATTTTTTTCATCAGTCATTTTAGATTACAACCACAAATACTCTTCCCATTAACAGAACCCCTGATCATTTATTCTATTAAACCAAAATAATATTCTCCAAATCAATGTGCAAAATCAGTTTTGTCCACAACAAATCATGTACTCTACCATTTGATCCTTTTTTTCTCAAAATGTTTGTAACTGATGAAGAGACAATATAAAAATGAGTCACGTAACATTTCTGCTCCTTAGTATCTAACACTGTGCCTGATGTGTGCTAGAAATGTAATGCATGTTTGCCTATTGGATGAGTAAATGAGTGTCCTGGTATGTTAAGATTTTTCTTTAGAACAGTAATCAGCAAATCTTATTTGATTCCCAGAGAAAAAGAATAACTCAAGAAAGTCAAACAAAATCTTCTTACCCACAGTCTGGAGCTGGACACCACCTACAATCAGGATCTGCCACAAGCCACCGTCTAAGCATAAATTCTTCATATTTTTCCATCAAGACATCATCACTTAATATTAAGCGAATATCGTGGGGATTAAAGCGTTCAGTACATTCTGGGCAGCTGATATTAACTCTGCTTTCAGAGATCTCAATCCTTAGATACTGTCGTAAGCAATCCACACAAGATCTATGGTGGCAAGTCATAATCTCAGGAAATCTGTCCTTGGAATGCCGCAAAAGGCACAAAGGGCACTCCATGAAGTCTCCAACTTGTTTGCTGATGGAAGACAATCCATTGTCAGAGGAGGTATTCGTAGAGAAAACGGAGTTCTTATCAGCACACATTTCAGAATGTATGCTTTCGATACTCGCAATTCCATCCACCCCGCCATTTAGCTCCCTTGATTTACGTTTGTTATCCTTTTTCCTCCGAAACAGAGAGCCTATTGAAATCCTTCTTTTCTTAGGTGCCTTTTTGACAGAAGGCAGGCTCACTGACGAAGCAGAAGACTGAAGATCTCGATCGGAACCCATTTGTCGATGTAAACTCATGTCTAAAATATTCATTCGAATTGAGTCAGGGTCCGTGTTTATACACAGCCCTTCATTATATTGAAAGATAAGACCGATTTCTTGTTCTTGCATTCAGATTAAGTCATGATGTAAGTAAATATTTGGTTCCCTCAGAAATCCTTGAAAAAGTTTGATATTCAGAAGACTATTATAGATGTTCTGAAAAACAAAAAGAAACAGAAGATCATTTAATTATATTCTTAGTTTGCGTCTGAAAAAAAAATAACCTTATGAACTTACTATGGAACTTCATACTATATGTTGTTTAACCATTAAGTTTTGTTTATTAAACAAAGCCAATTTAGTGAGTAGTCACTCTGCAAGAGAATACAAAACCAATGCTAAAATAACAAGGATATTCTTTAACCTTAATAAAAAGGATAGATTTGAGCTGACCTTTTCATTATTAAAATTGTACATGGAACTTTTGATTAATAATAATTACACAGACCTCACTGATTCCTCTAAGGCTGCAGAAATATTTTAATTCATCGAAAATAAACATATATGCAAATGCAAAGGTCTAAATACAGCTGATACAATCTTGAAGAACAAAGTACGTCTGAGTATTCTTTTACTGTCTGATATAATGATTTTTAAAGGTTACAGTAGGGGCTGGTAAGATAGTACAGTAGGTAGGGCGCTTGCCTTGAACATGTCTGGACTGACCCAGGTTCAACTTGAGCACCCAAATGGTACCTGGCCCAGAACTGCCAGGAGTAACTTCTGAGTACAGAGCCACTAGTACCCCCGGAGCACTTTCGGCTGTGGCCCCCCCAAACCAAAATTAATGAAAATAAAACTAAAGTTACGGTAATTTAGAAAACGGGTATATCACAAGGATGAATACAAAGAACAAAGAATTAGAACATAGTTTGAGTGAATAATAAAGATAATTCACGTCAAAGGTTGATGCTGTGCAACACATACACACACACATAGCATAGTACTTATTTACTGGTTACCATGGGAGAACAGAAACTTGACCTACTGCTCACCCCATTTATGTCAATTCCAAATGGTTGATGATCTAAATGTAAAAAAGCAAGACCACAGACCTGAAGGGATAGTTCAGAAGGCTAGAGCAACATGTTCTGCATGCCAAAGGCCCAGGTTAGGTCGCAAGAACAGTGGGGAGCCAACCCCCAAGTATCATCCCAGGAGTAATCACTGAGCACCCAAAAATCTACCCTCTTCCAAAACTCCCCAATAAAACCATAACGTTTCTAGGAGTTAAAAGAATCAAACATTCCCATGAAAATAAAACATATCTTAAAGGAAACTTTCAAAAGCACCACCAACAAAAGAAAAAGTGGGGCAAGGGATGTAGTCAAGTTGTCAAGCACATCCTCCGCATGTGTGAGGCTCTAAATTTATTCCTGAGATCCACATTCCCCCAACCCCAACACACCCAACACCACCAGATGTGGCCCTACACAACTAAAGATGGATAAACTGAAGTGCAATTATATCAAGATACAGTATTAAGCTATTGGAAAAAAACATTTGCAAAACAAAATTTGCAAGAGGAAATGGAAAAGTGCTTAACATCATCAGTCATCGGGGGAAATTACATGAAAGCCATTCAGAGAGATGGCTAATATTCAGACATGCCCAAGGGTTTGCAAAGATGTGGAGTGATGGTGAGAATGTAAAATGTCACACCACTTCAGAAAATTGTTCAACAATATGCATCAAATTTGAAAGTATGGCTCTCTATTACTCAATCACACTCATATAAATGAATGCCCAGGCATTCACAGAAGTAAAAATATTCATGGCAGCACTAGCTATAATAAATAAATCAAAATATTATACTGAAAACAATTCATGTTTCCATTATAATAGAATGGATAAACTCATTGTGGTATATTCACACTCTATACGCCAGAAAGCAATGAAGGTGAACAAAATACTATAAGCAAGAATGATCTCACACCAGAATCTATCTACTGTGAAATTCCACTTAAAGATACATAAATGCATTCAAAACATAATCAACTGCATTCAAAAACAAAGAAGAACTAATTTATGATGTTAAAAGTCAGGACTGCCATTACTTTTGGTGGGATACACAAAAAAGAACTTTGACATGTGTAATATTATACAAATATGTTCAGTTTGTTATAAATCAATGACCTACAATTTTATGACTAAGCACTTTTCTGCGTAGTCATAGTTGATTAAAGTTCAAAAAGAAAAATGATTCCAGCTGTTATCTGCACAAATGCTTGAGAAACTCATTGATTTCCCAAGACAAACTCTAGGAAAACATTTCACTTAGGCAATCTTTATTCACATCCATTAGTTAATTTTTTCCTATTATTGCAACACTCCCTCTCAATTTTGAGGTAAACATGCAGTAGAAGGGCAGATTTTACTAAAACAATGTCCATCTGCTCTCCATTATATGCGTTTATTTTCTCCCCAATCTCAAAATGCCTATAGAACTCCAGGGCTTAATGTATGTATCACAGAAGAGAATTGCCGAGGGAATCTATTTTAGGAATCTTGTTCTAAGAACTGATCACTTAAATTTTAAATCAATGGTACTTAACCAGTATAATCTGGAGAATTTCTCCAAACAAACACTTGCTCATCATACAACTTATTATCCAAATGAGAACCTTCTAAGAGATGGAAGGTGTGACTGATATTTACACTGGGATTGAGGAGGACACAGTGCAATGTACTATCAACCTACTTAGGATGCCTCTCTAGGACACTTTGCAAATATATAAATATGGCTCAAAGGAAAATTCATTCAAATACCAGAACTGTAATATCTCTATATGTAAGAATACTATAAGGACACAAAAACATTTTTAAAATAGACAAGATCTGCGGCTGGAGTGATAGCACAGCGGGTAGGGCATTTGCCTTGCATGTGGCCAACCCGGGTTCGATTCCCAGCATCCCATATGGTCCCCCCGAACAGTGCCAGGAGTAATTCCTGAGTGCAGAGCCAGGAGTAACCCCTGAGCATTGCCGGGTGTGACCCAAAAAGCAAAAAAATAAATACGGGCTGGAGCGATAGCACAGCGGGTAGGGCGTTCGCCTTACAAGCGGCCAACATGGCCGACCCGAGTTCGATTCCTCCGCCCCTCTCGGAGAGCCCGGCAAGTTACCGAGAGTATTCGATATGCCAGACACAGTAAATACATAAATAAATAAATAAAATAGACAAAATCTGGTCCCAACCTCATTTTTTTTAATAGCTCAAGGGTGAAATATTCCTTTATGTTTAGTGTTCTATTAGAATATTTTCGGCCCTGACTATGCTCAGGTTTACTCTTAGCTCTGCATTCAGGGATCATTCCCAGTGGACTCAGGGGACCACAGGATGCTAGGGACCAAACCCAACGTCAGCTGTGTGCAAGGCAACCATCTTACCCACTGTACTATTTCTCTGGCCCCCAATTAGGATTAAAAAAAAACCTATTCAGTAAGAGGTACTTATGATTAAAACGTTTATGCAAAATACATGATAAATTAGGAAGAAATGCATAACAATAAAAAAAACCTTCCAATAGAATTAGTTGAAACATCAATAAGAACAAGATGCGCAACCCAGAGCTGGGCAAAAATGAAGGATGAAGGACGGACCGGAACGACCCCCTTCCCATAAGGTTTTAGTCTCCCCCACACCCCCGGCTCATACCTGCTGTCCACAAGGCTCCCATGCGGCCGCCATCCTTCTTTCCAGAGAAGAGAGGGCGAATGGGGCAACACCCTTTCCCCTCCGGCAGACTTGATGGCCTGGATTAACGCATAGTCCTTTCACTTTTCTGCTCCAAGCTGTTGGGTTCTGCATTAAATCCTTGTGTTTCTGGGGCTGTGGCCATGCTGGAGAGCCGCTCGTGGGGGTTAACTGGTGACCTCGGTAGGGCGTGAAGGACGGACCAGAACGCCCCCCTTCCCATGAGGTTTTAGTCGCCCCCACACTCCCGGCTCATATCTGCTGTCCACAAGGCTCCCATGTGGCCGCCATCTTTCTTTCCAGAGAGGAGAGGGCGAATGGGGCAACACCCTTTCCCCTCCGACAGACTTGATGGCCTGGATCAATGCATAGTCCGTTCACTTTTCTGCTCCAAGCTGCTGGGTTCTGCATTAAGTCCTTGTGCTTCTGGGGCCGTGGCTGTGCTGGAGAGCCGCTCGTGGGGGGCAACTGGTGACCTCGGTAGGGCGTGAAGGACGGACCAGAACGCCCCCCTTCCCATGAGGTTTTAGTCGCCCCCACACCCCCGGCTCATACCTGCTGTCCACAAGGCCCCCATGTGGCCGCCATCTTTCTTTCCAGAGGGAGGAGGGCGGAAGGGAGCAACACCCTTTCCCCTCTGGGCAGAAATGATTGCCTGGATTAACGCATAGTCCTTTCACTTTTCTGCTCCAAGCTGCTGGGTTCTGCATTAAGCCCTTGTGCTTCTGGGGCTGTGGCCGTGCTGGAGAGCCGCTCGTGGGGGGCAACTGGTGACCTCGGTAGGGCGTGAAGGACGGACCGGAACGACCCCCTTCCCATGAGGTTTTAGTCGCCCCCACACCCCCGGCTCATACCTGCTGTCCACAAGGCTCCCATGCGGCCGCCATCCTTCTTTCCAGAGAAGAGAGGGCGAATGGGGCAACACCCTTTCCCCTCCGGCAGACTTGATGGCCTGGATTAACGCATAGTCCTTTCACTTTTCTGCTCCAAGCTGCCGGGTTCTGCATTAAGTCCTTGTGCTTCTGGGACTGTGGCCGTGCTGGGGAGCCGCTCGTGGGGGGCAACTGGTGACCTCGGTAGGGCGTGAAGGACGGACCAGAACGCCCCTCTTCCCATGAGGTTTTAGTCGCCCCCACACCCCCGGCTCATACCTGCTGTCCACAAGGCTCCCATGTGGCCGCCATCTTTCTTTCCAGAGGGAGGAGGGCGGAAGGGAGCAACACCCTTTCCCCTCTGGGCAGAAATGATTGCCTGGATTAACTCATAGTCCTTTCACTTTTCTGCTCCAAGCTGCTGGGTTCTGCATTAAGCCCTTAGTTGCCCCCCACGAGCGGCTCTCCAGCACGGCCACAGCCCCAGAAGCACAAGGGCTTAATGCAGAACCCAGCAGCTTGGAGCAGAAAAGTGAACGGACTATGCATTGATCCAGGCCATCAAGTCTGCCGGAGGGGAAAGGGTG